TACTTCTCGTACTAAATTTTTTTTTTTTTTTAAGGATTAACATTTTTGAAAAAAAAAATTACTCTAAAAAAAATAGATTTTTGAAAACAATAAATTTTTGACAAAAATTTACTTTTTTTTGAAAAAAAAAACAGACTTTTTAAAGAAAGATTTATCTTGAAATATTTTGAAAATTCTGAACTTTTTTTCAAAGCAATCGTACTGCTTTAACTGCATGGAGACGAAATATCGAAGCGCGTAAGCGGCGCGTCGCCGTCTAACGGATAAATATTGGCACGGAACCCATAGGAATGTAAACAAAATTTATACTTATTGTTAAAATCTCTATAAAATATCTGATAATTTTATGTGCATATGTCTAATAATCATTTTTGACCGCCAAATGGCTTTTTTACTTTTTCTTTTACTAGATCTCCGAAAACGCTAGACCTGCCCTCATGAAAATCAGTTCTTCATCTTGTTAATACAAGTAAAATGTTTTTTGTATTATTCCAATCGTCCGTTTTTGGCACTTATTGCCCCATATCTTCGGAACGGCTAGACCTGCCTTCGCCAAAAGCTAATCAACACGTCTCCTTATCAATACAAATCGAATGTTTTTTGAATTATTCAAATCGCTTCATCCGTGTTCCCGAAATCGTCGACGAAAATTTTTATCCGCACACATACACATACATCCATTTTTTTTAAGGTATGCCAAAATGTTCAGGAGGTTTTGAAACGTAAAGATATATAAAAAATTTTATTTTCGATTTTTTGCGATTACTATAACCTACCCTACGGGAAGTTAATTATATAACAAACGTCTTGCCTGTTCCTCCTGGTGCGTCCAAGAAAAAGAAACGCCCTTGTTCTCCTTCAACGGTCAGCATAACCCGATCATAAATAATTTTCTGTTCTTCTGTGAGTAATTGCTCACTATTTTCTATAATTTTTGCTAAATTTTCACTATATAATTTTGTTGTCTCTGTAAATCTATATTGAGAAATTTTGATAGTGGGCGATTAGGTGATTGCAATGCAATCCATAATGATCAAGTTTTAAGTTCGAAATCTTAAGACACAAATCTTCTAGGAACACTAATGCTTCATTATAAATTTCAGATGTATATTCTACGTTCTGGCTTTGATATGTTCTCCTAAACGTTTGTAAAACGTCTTCTGATATATAATTTTTATATTTTTTCCACAAATTTTGCGCGTGCTATGGATAACAGGTTGTTGAAATGATTGCAAATAATTGTCGAATGTTATTTGGCGCCGATGTCAAGGAAGCATCAGCAAGACTCAAGTCCCATTGTTTATCGTCTTCCAATAACAGCAACTCTAGACATGCCCCATGTATTTAATAATTTTACAATTCGCAAATATTGGAAAGATTTAGGCCCTCGAACGTTCACCAGCAGCAATCTTAAATAAAAACATTCCCTTGCCTTGGGATGCACAGTGTAAAGTCTCCTCAATGTTCTTGCTCTGAATATACCTATGATTTCTTGATGTGGTTTTCCTTGTTTTCTTTTCTCCCACTTCTTGCTTATTTTGTTCCACGTAAAATAAAGCGCGATATCAGTATATAACAATGTTTTTGCGAATTGACCGTATATATCATTTTTGTTGCACAGTTTAAAAAATTCTGTTAACGTTGTTCTCGGTGGCTCAATTGCTCTTTGTATAACATTTTCTTCAGTGAAGTACACACGTTGTCCGTTGTAAAGATGAACTGCCAGATGCTGGACAGCAGGGTCCCTGTCGTGAATTGATAAACTGAAAATATGCCAAATTGCCTCCTTGCTACTGTAACTAATGTATCTACCCATTTGATATTGTATAATTTCGTCATTTTTATTGATGTTTTGTAGTTCTAATATAAAAAAATCATTCACTGTATTTACATATTTACATATGTACTTTATCGATTTGACCGATCTACAAAGATCTACATTGATATGAGCCTAATAAGTTTTTGAAAGTAACGGTGAGTATCTCACAATCCAAAGATTATCAACTTTTATTATATTATTTGAATTATGCAGTCTAGGTATGGGTAAGTCACTCCGGAGTTATCACTCTGATACAGCTCCTCCCTCGGAGTGAATTCGAGTGAAGTTTTTTCACAGGATTTGTCATATCCGACTTCCTTAAACTACTACTAAATCTGTTAACATGTGCAGATATGAGCTTGAGATTTTATACTAACACAAAGATTTATGATTAATATTAAATTAAATATGTCGCTTTTTCATTGTGATTTATAATGTTTTGACGAAGTTTTGGTATCCGAACTAATTTGGTAAGCAAATCAAATAAATATAAATTATAAGTCTGTTTATCTAATAATTTTCATAAATATTGATAAATCTCATTTCACATTTCTTTGAAGTCCACATTTATTTAAATTTTCACACATTGATTTTTAATTAGATTTAAAACTATAAACAGTGATTTTTAATATAGCATTTTATGTAATTTGGATATCTTTCAATATCCACATCTATATGTTTTATGAATTATATTTTTTGAACTGTCATTTTTTTTTTTTCAAAAATCATACAGCTTTTTATTTCATATTTTCCATTATCTTTGACATTTGAATACTGAATGATAAGACCCTTTGCAAAACAGACAAATATTTTTATAACTGATTGATGTATCGTAAGATTTTATTTATTCTGCATTTTTATATCTTTAAATTTGTTGAAGTTTTCGTTGCTTGTTACAGTTGGATTTATGGCTTCTAATATCGTGTTGATTTAGAGTTCGGTGGAATGTGTCTGTTCGGGGAATGTGTCTAGTTCCGAACGATTCATTAGCCTTTTACCACTCTTGGTGAGTTTTCTTATCTATTTTTAAAATTATGAGATAATTAAATAGATAAGGTCCTATGGACTAATTGTTGCTACGTTTTTAAACATCTTAAGTGTTTATTAAAAGTATCTATTAGATTACGAAGGTCTTTACCTAATGGCAGGATGATCAAATATTTTTTTAAGATGATTATTTACGATTCTTTTCCTATTTTCAAAATTCGATTTAAGTAAGTTTCAAGCAATTATTTAATTATCGGTCGTTGCCTATAATGATTCTATAAAGTTTCCTGCCTCTCCTTCCAGGCATGATATTAAATAATAAAATTTTTAGCCATTACCAATGTTGTAAGAATTAATCAAGAAAATGAATCGTAAAATTGTAGCCAATTTAAGTGAGAGCCGTCAAATTGAGGTAAATTAATCAGAGGAAATTTTATAATATAAGAACTATTTGATGAATATGTATTATTAAAATAATTTTTCGAAACAATATCCGATACAAACAAACTATTAATATATAATATATTATTTGGTGATGTTTGACTAGGTTATAATATTGTTGATCGTCAGTTGTTATATTTAAAAAAAATCATCTAATTCGATATTCAAAACTTATTAATTTTATCTTTGTCCTCTAGTAGCGTTATTATATTGATAACCGTGTTTTCGAACGTTTCAAATATAGGCTTCACATTTTTGACATGGCGGCTTTCTATAATATTTGAATCAGAAGTAGGTACTTCTGACATTTGATTGCAAATATTTTCAAATCTTGTTAACCACCATTAATGACACGCAGATGAATGAATTCATTTTGAGTGATTTTAATGATTTCATTTTGACACAAATTGTATCAAACTTTAATTAATAATTATGAAATGTTTTTTTGTATGATTTCTTTGAAGGATACTTGTTATAAAAACACTTTCAATTATAATGTTAATTACGATTGTATTTTTATATAACTACAAATTTCATTCTATTTTTTAATATACAAATTCAAAAAAAAGTTCAATTATTAACATGAGTAAATTTAGTTAGATTATCTTATATTTTGTTCCCAACGTCATACTATGGGATATTGTCACATAGTTCTAAGTTATCGTAAACACACACACACACATATATATATATATATATATATATATATTATATATATATTAACAAGTCTAATAATCGGACATAACATTTATTTTTTCTTTTCACTCCAATTCAATTTTTAGTTTTTAATTTTATTTTAGTTTCCACTGAATGAAGGCTAGGATTATAGCCGAAGCGTATGGATTTAAATAAATTTTGAAAGAAATTCATGTTTTTTATTAATGTTATGCCCGATTATTAGACTTTGTTAATACATATGTCAACATCAAATTCAGAATCATACAAATATATATATTATATATATATATATATATATATATATATATATATATATATATATATGGTACAAAAGTTAAACACGATGAACAGTAGAATATCTTATTTAATATATAATTAGAATCATTTAAATCACTCAGAATACAGTTGTTATAGGTAGGTTGTTGTATACAAGAGAACATATAATTTGTACAAAGCATAGTCGAAACCTATGCGCAAGATGGACGCTTTGCCGGGTAGTGGGAGAAGCCATACAAATAGTAGCGCGAAATTCAAATTAAAAACATATTTATCCATCCTCCCGGGCGATGCCAAGCATCTACAATTTTACAATAAAGATACACACAATGCCACATGAATGAATACAATTCTAAATTCTTATTTATCTTAAACTATATTGAACATATTTCAACATAATCATAGGTGACAATTTTTCTTAAATCGATAACATATGAATGAAAAGCGGACTGTATTAAATGAAGTAGTAATGCTTATAAACTAGTATACTTAAAAACTATTGACATAAGTAGTATTATAAGTCAATTTTGATTAGTGTATATGAAATGAATAATAATACATAGAAATGCGAATATGGTGCAATTGAGTAAACAATAATAACTAATTATATAAACTTAATTAAAATTATTACAGTATAATGAAGTAACTTGTGATATAATCCTTAATTATCTTAATTGCTTAATTATAGAAATTTGATTAATCGGTACATGGTAAAGGTACAATTTTTACAATAGGTCTAGTGTGAATACCAGAATTGGTTTTAACCACCACTACCCTAACTTTTCCATCTTGACCTATCTTAATTTCCATCACACGACCCGTAGGCCATTGGAGTGGTGGAGATTGTCTTTTTAATTAACACTAGGTCATTGACCTTTACATTAACTTGGGTCTTTGCCCACTTATTCCTACGTTGTAACGTACTTAAATATTGCGTTGACCAGAGTTTCCAAAATCGGTCTCTCATGGCAGTCATTTGCTTATAAATCTTATTGAGATTTACAACCTTGTCTGACAAATATGGTTCTGGAATTGCTGTTAAAGGCTCACCTATCAAAAAATGTCCCGGACTAATGTATGACAAATCAGAACTGTCATCAGTGGTTGCCAACAACGGTCTAGAGTTTAAGACGGCCTCAATCTGGACTAACACTGTGAAATATTCCTCATAGGTAAGACAATACGATCCAATTAACTGCCGTGTATATGATGCTTCATACATTTAATGGACCCTTCCCACAAACCTCCAAAATGTGGTGAATAGGAAGGAATAAAATAAACTGCCATATACCCTAACTGTGCACTAACTTCGATTAGGGTCTGTTTTACCAGATCCTGTTTGAAAAAACGATACAAATCACTTAACTCCCTACTTGCACCTACAAAGTTCCTACCATTATCACTATGGATAACACTACAACACCCTCGACGAGAAACAAAGCGCCGAATGTTGCAAGAAACGCATCAGTAGATAAACTTGAGACAAGGTCCAGATGTACAGCCTTTGTCACCATGCATACAAACAGAGCTATATATGCCTTCACGCGTGGAGCCTTTCGTAAACGGCTTGCTCTCAGAATAACTTGGCCGGCGAAATCCACCCCTACAGCCTGAAAAGGTCTTTGCTTAGTGACACGATTCATTGGTAAGTTCCCCATTAATTGCTCCGCTGTGGTAGCCTTAAAGCGTATACATTTGATGCATTTATTTATTAGCCAGTACTGTCTGTGTTCCGGCATGCATCAACCGTTCATGTTCAGCACGTAAAAACATTTCGACAACCTTGTGACCTTTAGGTAGGATGATCGGATGTTTTTGTTCAAACGAAATGTTTGCATTTTCAAGTCGACCTCCTACTCTTAGCAAATCATTGGAATCAAGAAAAGGATTAAGAGAAATTAATTTGCTGGATAGGTTCTTCTTTGTTGTCTTAGTAGTCATGCCAAATATTTCCCATTGTACTACTTTAAAAATAGCATTAGTAGAGTGACGCAATTCATAAGGTGATAGTGTTTGTCCGATGCCTAATATTTCGGATTTCTTACATTTGTGACGCATCTAAGAAATAAGACGCACTCGAACTAATTTACTGAAAGACGAAAATTTGCCAAATACATCCTTATACAGTCTGTTCATTACTAGGACAATCGTCGTAAACACCCGTTTTCTGGTATGACCTCTACTGGGACAGGAAAATCTATTTGGCCAACTATCGCTATCCTGAGTTAAACACCCTGGTCCATGCCACACAATTTCAGTCAACCAGCTCTGCAGGAGAATCAACGCCTCTGGAAACAATATCTGCAGGATTCTCTTTACTTGGGACGTGCCTCCATAATATTGCTGGCGTGAGTTCTGAAATCTCTGCAACCCTATTGCTTACGAACATCTTTAACTGCGAGGGATCAGTCCTTAACCATGCCAAAACAATACTGGAGTCACTCCACAAGAATGTTTCAGATATTTGAATAATTCCTGCTATGTCTGTGCGAAACCGCCTATAAAGTTTAGCCAAGAAGTATGCTGCAGACCGCTCTAGCGGGGAGGTTAATTCTTAAGGGAGTACTTTCGATTTTTGAGCATAATAAATGTGCTCTACGCCAAAACCATATGTTATGTCTCTCTGTAAACTAATTAAATCTGCTACGGAATTTGTACCTGTGATTATATCATCCACGTAGCAGTCCCTATCTAAGACTTCAGCAGCTCGAGGGTATATCAAATTGTCATCAGACGCCAACATTTTTAAACAACGCATCGCTAAGAAAGGAGCACATGCGGTTCCATACGTAACAGTAGTAAGCTTAAATACTTCTATTTCATTCTCTGGTGCTGTTCTCCACAGAATGAGTTGATAGTACTGATCTATTTCCCGAACTCGTATTTGCCTATACATTTTTACAATGTCAGCAACAAAAACATACAGGTGTAGGCGAAATCTAATTAAGATGGAAAATAAGTCTTGCTGAAGTTTAGCTCCAGTTGTAACGTCTCATTTAAAGATAGGCAGAACTTGTCTTACAAGATGCATCAAATACAACCCTAATTTTTTCATACCGTCCATCCTTTAATACTGCATGATGCGGTATAAAGTATGACCCTACTGGAACATTCTTCAAATCAATAAGCTCTGCATGTCCTAATCTTATATATTCCTGAATAAATTCATTGTATGCCTTAGCTAGTTTGGGTCTCGAGTAAAACGTCTTTCTAAATTTTCCAATCTACCTTTTGCCCTATTGAATGATTCTCCTAAGCTGCCCTCCTTATCTGATTTAAAGGGTAAGGCAACCTCGAATATGCCATTATTTTTCCTATTACATTGGACACAAAATGCTCTTCGCACAACTTATCCGACCCATTCATTGTGACATTGCTTGAAGATACCTCCTCAATTTGCCAAAACCTTGTTAGGTTATTGTGCAGGTCTTCATTCGAAACAAAGCCAACATGAGCTACAGCATCCGACTGTTTATAAATCCCTGACAACAACCAACCAAAGTGACTTTTTCTGAGTACTGGTAGACAACGCAACTAACCGTACACAGCCCTGTTGCAAGATATCGAAGTATAACTCAGCCCCTATTAATAATTCTACAGGTAACGCGACATTAAATTCTGGATCGGCTAAGTCTACATAACTGGGTATTTTCCAATCCTTATAATCTATGCAACTACTAGGTAAATTTTGTGTTATGTGATCAACAACTACGCAATGAATGGTCCGTTGATATTCTGAAATTCTAGACTTTATTGTTATTTTCCCAGCTTTCTGACTCACACATGATTGCCCTTGTAACATGTTCATTCTACTTAAAGAAGCTATTGTAGGACATTTCAATTTTTGTATTAATGAATTGGTTATTAAGTTTATTTGGGAACCACTGTCCAGTAGAGCCCTCACCTGGTGGGTTTTGCCATTTGCATCAAAGACATAAAGGGAAACTGTTGAAAGAAGTGTTTGAATATTATTGTGACTAGCTAGAAGGACGTTGTTGCCAGAATGGGGTAGGCTATTTGAATCTGAAGGATTAACATCATCATGAATTAATGTATTGTGAGGCTCTCTACATCTGTAACACGTACCTTTGAAACTACATTTCTTAACATCATGAGCAGGCAGTAAGCAACGAGTACAGAGGGAATGTTTCGACACTAATTCTTTGCGACCTGTAACCTCTAACTGTTTAAATTTCGAACATTTATATAGTGGATGATTTCCCTTACAGCAGCAACAAGGAGATGGTACTCTTTTCACAGTTCCAACATGCACCATTTTGGAACTTCCCTGACTAGCCTTATTTTCTAATTTAAAAGAATTTTCCAATGCACACACCCTTGATTCTAAAAACGAAAAAAATTCACTGACAGTTGGAAGCACATTCCCATTCCTAGCTAAATTCCATGCCATTCTAGTACTGCTATCTACTTTCTTGTTCAACATATACAAGAGGACAAGATCCCAGTGTTTTGTTGGCTCATACACTGCTAAAAGAGCACGTACTTGCTGCCTAGCGGTGCACAAGAAATTGCCTAAGGATTCATGCGTACCTCTGTGTACTTGAGCTATGTTATCAATCTGCTGCAAAAGTGAATTTAAAATTTAAAATTTATTATCGTATGTTTTGCATAACAGATCATAAGCGACCATGTAATTTTCATTAGTTAAGCTTAGTGATGAAATTAATTTTGCAGCAGATGATATTAGAGCTCCCTTTAAATAGTGCAACTTAGTCACAGGAGGTAATTTAGTATTACTGTGAATTAATGAATTATATAAATCTATAAACTGTGTCCACTCACTATAATCACCATTAAATTTTGGTAAGGTGATATCAGGTAACTCAACGTCTAACACAGAATGACTATCTACAGCCCTAGAAGATGAGGGGGTACCATTATTTGTGAGAGCATCCAATTGCGACATCATGTCCAAATACCTATCAGAATACTCGAAGTACTCTTTCGAAAACTCCCCAGGTTGGGCCACCTCTAACTCTATATAATTAGTCTCCCACTGATGACATAGTTCTACTAAACGTTGTTTCCTTCTTTTTAATGCCTCAATGTTACTATCATTCTGACCCGAAGCTACAAATTTAAATATAGTATCAAAATGAGCCTTTACAGTATTATGTTTCACAATTAAAGAACTTACATCAGCCATGTTTTAGTGTATATAAGTTATCTCAATAAGTTAAAAGCAGATGACTTCCAAATATTCAATGTAGTCTGCTAAATGAATAGTATATAAACTAAAGAAATATAATATAAAGTATAATTTGCAATACAATTCCGCCAAAGCAAATAATAAGCTAAGAATTGTGCCTTAAGTGCCTGAATCACCCTATGACATTAACAGTATACGATGGTGATCAGTAACAACTAATTATAATTAATCTAATACTAGTACATAACCTCGGGTAGGATAACATCCGATAATCTTAGATGATGTAGACTCGGGTGCTCCAAAACCTTGATGTGTATGTAGTGATCCTAACCTCACAACACGTGGTGCCTTGGCCTCTATACTGCTTCTTGTGCCTGGTGTTTCACGGCCTGGACAGGATAACATCAAGTAATGTAAGATCTTGATGCTCACAAGTGACCCCAGTAACACGAGCGACAGCGATGGCAAATGTTAATACCTCGTGTATGTAACCTCGTAACCTCCTTTCAAATTGAATCTGAGTCCATCCACTCAGATCAACGATAATAGGAATTGCTCTTCTCCTGACGTGATTGAGTGATATTAATACCTTTGATTATTGTGAATAGTTTCACGTTTGGATATTCCACTCGGCTTCAACACCAAATTTTGTGACAACAAATACGAAGTTCTTTTATACCAAATTTTGATAATGGTTTTTTCTTAAAATCCGGTTCGAAGGACCAAAACTTATGGTACAAAAGTTAAACACGATGAACAGTAGAATATCTTTATTTAATATATAATTAGAATCATTTAAATCACTCAGAATACACGTTGTTATAGGTTAGGTTGTTTGTATACAAGAGAACATATATTTTGTACAAAGCATAGTCGAAACCTATGCGCAAGATGGACGCTTTGCCCGGTAGTGGGAGAAGCCATACAAATAGTAGCGCGAAATTCAAATTAAAAACATATTTATCCAATATATATATTATGTCTCCGATTTATTTAGTACTATTCTCATTGCCATTGTTCTGTATAGTCTGTAGTATCTGCGTTCTCTTTGTTATTGCATGCTACTTAGTAGCAGGTACAGCACAGGGCTTATTAATGTGAAGTATATCATCGTCTGTTGATTGTAACGATCCTTATTATTATTATCATTATTATCTATATATTTATTATTTTCTATGATAGTGATAGCTTTTGAATCATAAGTTATGTGATATTGTACATGATTAAATAATATCTCACTATTAATAATGACATCATTCAATTTATATTTATGATCCTGTTTCAGTTATGGCTGTTATTGAAGAAATAGAGGATGGGGCCATATCAATTTTAACGAGCATCGAATGTTCGCTAACTAAAATTACCGATAACGATACGAATGAGAGAAAAAACATGTTAAAAGTTCAAACAACAAGAAAATAAATAAAAGCGCTCTTTGGACTCGAAACAGTATAATGAAACTCTCAATTAAATATACATTGAAACTCTTGAACTCTCTTCAATTTCATGATGGGGGTGAGTTACAGTGCAGGATGTTTTTCTTGCAAAGATTGATTCCATTATAATAAGTGCGTCATTAGTAGAAAATGATTGTATAACAATGCAATATTAATAGTTACATCGATAAAATGTTCGTATTCGCTATTGTATGGGAATTTAACTCTTGCATGGAAAATTCGTAGATAAATATTAGCGTTCTAGTTGCGGTTTATTTGCATTAATTCTCAAACGCGTCGTATGTTTTTATATTGGAATGTAAAAGATTTCAAAGAATAAAATATGAAGGAGAGTAAATACAAGCTAGGATATGCTATACGTTATTTTTAATATCAGAACATGTTATCATAAATCCAGATGTGAAAATAAATATTCATGTAAATTTAAAGTTACATGATTCAAATCCATGATTAAAACTGCAGTTTTTGTTAATACCTATTGATCAATCAAGTTGCACCATAATGTCTGACTATAATTATTTATCGAGTATCGGATTTTATCTATTTGTTTCAATGTATTTAAAATTATCTTTCCGAATGAGAAGTTCATTTCAATTAAATGTTAAAAGTTAAAAATTTATAGTTAAATGTTGAAAAAAAGTACACTTTTGTTGAAATTTCTTATGATGATAGAGATCATGGATCATAATGAATATAGTAAAATATCACGGTCCTACGACATTTGATTTAATTTTAAAAATTTATCGAACATTGAAAAATTATCAAAAATCAAAATATGTGTCAAATATAATTTTTCTGACTTAATAGGTCAAAACTTAAAGTTGGTCAACGTTTTCTCAAAAACAGCCAAATATATTAAGTTTTTTCTAAAAAAAATGTTTGGAATGTTTCACGAAATTTAATATGTTCAATTAAGAATATGCATCACAAAATTTGGTTGAATAAGCAGAATTTTACAAATCCATTAAAATTTTAAATGTTAGGATGCTCTTTTGGGATATACAAAAACGTGTTACACTGTGTAAAAAAAATAACGTGAATCATGATGTTAAAAAAAACTAATTAACTCTTGAGTTATATAGACAATATTATTTTTCTTCAAACTCCAGGTCGCAGAATTTCTTATATATATATATATATATATATATATATATATATAATTTTATACTATTTTCCTGCTGATGTAAACCTAATCACACAAAATGTATATACATATACTAGACATTGGCATAAATCCTTCATAATGTTTGTTCGCCAGACCGACTTTAA